TCAACTAAGCACAACCGGAGGCATTCTTTTGCTGGCTGTTTCTCCTAAAAGCGTGTTTTAGGCAGAAAGGTGTGGGAATCGGAGATTGATGTAGGAATCTGATTAAGACACCATGGTCAAATGTAAAGAACCTAAAAAAAACCCAGGGTTGCTGAATCAGGCTCCGATATAAGGTAATAGCCAGAAAGTTGGAATATGATTATCCTAACCCTTCTATGGTAAAATACAGGGTATCCTACCATGAAACCATATTCCAACTTTCTGGAGTTCCCTGTAAGGCTTTGAAGTTTCATGGTTTAAGCGGGGGGCAAGTCTCAGCGACAGTTTAAGCTGCCATCGAAGGCCGCCATGCTTTCAATACGACTTTGGGGTAATGATGAAGTATAGTGAAGATAACGAACCCGCAGGAATGGACCGAAAAGAAAATCCAAAAAACCCATTCTTGGGACAGGGCTTAGGGTCTGGGGTTTATGATCTACAGGGCTTAGGCTTCACCCAGACCGTCCAAACTCCGTCATTTCAGGAATATATAGTAGGATCCCTAATGTGACTTGAGGTGTATTCCTGAACTAAGGGATGTTGGCAGGTCTGGGTATGTAGTGCAGAGAGTATAGGGTTCAAGGCTGCGGATTCATGAGCTTCTTCCGGGGGTAGGCCTTAAGCCTTGATCTATCGGGTCACAGTGGCCTTGGCTGATCTCAGTCATTTGAGTCGGACCCTGATATAGCACCCTAAATGGCAGGATCCTTATTATAAGGACCCCAAAATAAGGTACTCCTAATTTCGGAAACTCCCATATGGGTAGTTGCCTAAATATTAGGTGCCGTATTATCTATATATATATATATATATATATATATATATATATATTACGGACCCAAAAAGAACCATAATTTTGATAACCACTCATATGACTTAAGGGATTCGAGTTTGCCTAGGGCCCTAGGAGTTTGGAGCTTTGCGTTTCGAGGTGTGAGGGCTTTAGAGTTGAGAAGTAGCTCAGGTGTAGCCTTTTCGGATACCCTTAAGTAGGTAAGTCAGCAGTCAGGATAATTGTGGCGATGCTGATACCTCTTTCCGCCAAGGGCCTAATTGAGTGGAATACTGGTGCCTTAGGGTTCCTGAATCCGCCTTTCTCTATGATATACCCAAGGCCTGAATGATTGCCTATATTCGTCCTAAGGTTCATGTCTCGTTATATAGTCATAATATGAAACTTGATTTCCCAATAGCCCCATGACAACAAGGGTACCCTTGTTCCTACTAGTTGGTTTGATTTAACAAGGGAACCCAACAAGACAAAGGGCACAAGCCTACTATTGCGGAACCTAGCTAGGACACTATACGCCGAAACACAAATCCCCGAAAACCCTATGCGATTCATGCTGCCTCCTGTATAAAAGTTTCCGAGAATAGGGGACCCCTATATAGTACCCTATATGGTAGGATCCTTATTATAAGGACCCCAAGATGAAGTACCCCTAATTTTCGGAATCTCCCATATGGATTTCCAAGGTCTTAAATTCATGTCGGGAGGCCGAAGGCTTGCTGATACCGGTGGAACGTCACCTCCTTCCCGAAGAGCTTTGCCTCCCGGAGAAGTTTTCTTTGGGGGTTTAGGGGCTGTTTTAGGGTTTAGGGCTTAAGGAGACGGTTTTTTTAATGCAAAGTGACCTTTTCTCCGCAGGATCCAGGGTTTAGGGGTTTAGAGTTCCGGGCTTCTGGGCTGCCATTCTGCGGAGTTTCGGGCTGCCTCGTGGAGAGCTTTGTTTAGGGTTTAGGGTTTAGGGGTTTGTTTTGCTTCGAGTTCATGGCCCTGGGGTCTTGGATTTGCTCTTCCCATGGAGCGTGGTTGCTCCGTAGTTTCCGTGCTTGGGTTTTCATGCGCTACGTTCGCTGGGTTATGCCGCGTCTGGGGATTTGGGTTCCTTTAAGGAAGAGGTTGGGGAATCAAAAGTAGACATGGAGAAACCGCGACCATTGAGGTAAGGGCTTCGCGTTAACCAAACTCTAATCCCGAAAAGCCGAAACCCAAAACTCCAAAACCCAAAACCCCACGACCCTGATCCCTAAACCCAAAAGCCTAAACCCAAAACCTCAACGCCATAAACTCCAAAACCCGAAACCCTAAACCAAAATGGAAGCTGCGCCTTGCCAAGCTCTCTTGGATGCTTTGCCCATAGAGATTCGAATCGCTCATGACCTCAACCAGAGGGCTTGTGGTCGCCGTTGTAGAACAACCATAATGAGGAACCTAAGGAATAATGTATGTAATTATTTCGGCTCTTCTAGTAGGTTAAGTAAGGGGTCAAGGTTTAAGCGGTTTAAGACTTCAAGGTTTAGGGGTTGGAGGCCTAGGTGGTGAGGATCCGGGGTTGAAGGTTCAGGGCTTCAGGTCCGTTGGGCTTGAAGGTCTACAGCTAGTGTTTTGGAGATTCGGGGATTATAGGGGTTTAGGGTCTATAAAGGGTTTAGGAGTATATTAGGGTCTATCTAATATGCCTATTGACCCAGCTGCGCAGCTGTGTTTGATAGCTCCGCTTGCGAACGCTACAAAGGTGACGTCTGGACAGAAAGCTAACCGCACTTTGTCTACATCTCGAGCACTCCGGTTTCTACGTTATAACCCTAAACCACAAGCCCCTCAACCCAAATCCCGGATCCCCACCCTATAACCAATTGCTCAGACGATCTTCTCCGCCCCAGTAAGCTTCTTGGCTAAAATGCCACAAATCTCCGCAAGCAGCACTGATATCAGTATCAGCAATGCAGGTGTTTGCTGCTCCGTCTATATCAATGCAGCGATCGTCCTGCAATCTTTTCTCACCGAAAAACTTGAATTGCCAGGTTCTGATGCTGAAAGTTTCCCTGCAACCTCCCCCTCCCGCCCCCGACCCACCCCCCAAAGCGCCATTTGGCATTTGCTCTCATCCTTTTTTGCAAAATTTGGGATCCCGTATTTCTGGCACTCCTACATGGGTGGTTGTCAACATTAGGGTCCCTTTTTGGGTCCTTATTATAATACGACACCTAGTGAATATTTAGGGTGCCAAAACGGGACCATAATTTTGACAACCACCCACATGATCACATTTTGGTCGTTTTGATCGTGGATCATGGCTGGCCTGGAGGAAGGAAGCCACGCAGAAGAAGCATCCAGCCTTCAGGCGGGACTCCTTTAAGGGAGAGTTTAGAGATCAGAATTTAACAAGGGTTCGTCTATATCCGCTTTGTATTTTGGTAGGTTTCCCTTCCCGTATTTTGGGTTCCGTTACGAGTTGTGCGGGTCTCTAAAGTTGTGTCGAAGCTTCAGCCTGTGTTAGGTTTAGAGCTTCGGGCTTAGGGCTTGGGTTCAGAGGTCTAGGGCTTACGGTTTAGGGCCCATAGGGCTAAATAACCCTAAACCCTAAACCAACCCTAAACCTTTCGAAAGCCCTTTGCTCTGCTTGAGCTTGGACGCCAAATTGGGCTGGCCGTGTTGTCAACGTTTAGATCTGAGGGCTAGCAAGGGTTTTGGGATTTGGGAAGTAAACGTGAGAAAAGGGTTCTACAGTTGTGTGTGCAGGGTTTCTGAAATAAGACCCTTTATGATAATCAGGGTATGCCGGAGAATATTTACATGAATGAATTGGTAAGTCTTCATGAACAGACTAGTATGTGTCTGTAACTATGAATCGCAACTCTCGCCCTAAAACGTTTATGTCCCTAAGGGTCCATGTATCCAAATAGTATAGACTTGGGGCCCAATGTACCTATACAGGGAGTACTTTAAGGCCAAAGTATGTACTATTTGGGTACATGGACCCTTAGGGTGTAGTACCTTTGATTTAGGTAAGGAGCTGTGGGCCGAAGACGTCAGCGCGGCGAAATGTGCCTGCGCAGTCGTGGGCAAGTTTAGCGAGCCCTACTACGCTGCAAAGCCTTGATATATGCCCCTTTTTATGGGAGTTTCCGAAGATTAGCGGTACCTTACTTTGCAGTCCTTATAGTAAGGACCCTTCTATTTCGGTTACTATATTAGGCTCCCCTATATTCGGAACTCCCATATGCGTATCGAATATATGTACCTGTATAGGACCCATTAAGGCGAAACACATGCTGTAGATGTACATGGGTGGACCCCCAACACCCAAAGCCCTTGAACCCCCAAACCCTGAACTCTAAACTCTAAATCGACAAAAAGACAAACAAAGCTTAAACCCTTATAGATCCCTCGAAAGACACCCTTATAGATCCCCTGAAAGGAACCCTTGTAGGATCCCTTTTTTTGAGACCTTTTGCGGATCCCTTTTTAAAGGAACCCTTTGGGTATCCCTACAACCCTAAAACCCTAAATCCTTAAACCCTCAACCTTAAACCCGTAAGCCCTAAACCCTTAAACCCTTAAACTTAAAACCTAAACCCTTAAACTTAAACCCTAGCCCTAAACCCCTGGGGGACCTTTTCCTCGTCGAAGAAGAGCTCACCAAGGCGCTCGCGGAGCGACGAAGGCGCCTGGGCCGGGCTCTGGAAGCCTGCCGTCGCCGGGAGAGTTACCCTAAGGCCCCAAAGTAGTTTAGGGTTTACGGTTTAGTTTAGGGTTTACGGTTTAGTTTAGGGTTTAGGGTTTAGGCTCCATAGTAGTTTTTTTTTTGGGGTTCGTATATAGAATCCTTTAAGGTACTCCCAAAAAGGAACTATGTTGGGGTCTATGGGTAGCCAGGACCCTCCTTGTGTCCTCAAATAACCCAAATCATAAGCATTTAGGGTCTGATAGAGGGTAGATGGAGGGTCCGGGAGAGTTCGCGGTTTAGGGGTTAAGGTTTCATTTTTGTTTTTGAGCCCTCGTGTCTTTTCGCCGGGGAGCCTCTGGACTACCAGGGGTTAGGGTTTGGGAGTTAGGGTTTAAGGGTTGAGGAGAGAGGGTTTCGGGGTTATATAGGGTTTTAGAGCCCTGGCTCGAGACCTTCCAGACTGGTAGGGCTGCTTCCCACCGACCCTCGAGGGATCCGCTAGTTCTGATGGCTCTGGGTGACCCTTCACTTAGGGAGCTCTCTTTGGGACAACTTGTTGACATCGTTGTGGTTCACATCCATGGTGACACCTTTAAAGGCCTTTGGAACTGTGATCTTTTCGCATGTAAGGGCCTTGGCCCCGGAGTCTGGACCTTATATGGATTTGTTTTGGACCACATCGATCAAAACACTGGGCACTTGAGGGCCACAGACACCTCGAAGGCTTTTCTGAGACCGGAGGCCAGCCCTGACTCAGTTACCACATTGGTGGAGGTCTGTTCGGGCATCGGTGGCATTAGTGTGGGGGCTCACTTTGCGGGTTTCAATACGCTTTTGTCTGTGGACAAGTCAGAGATTGCTTGCGCAACGGTTCGACTGAACGGCGGAGCGGCCATCGCTGGTGATGTTGGGGACAGGGCTGTTCAGCTCCAGATCTCTATGGCTTGCTGCAACCAAGGACACATTTTAGCTGCTGGCTTTCCTTGCAACAGTTATTCTGTGCAGGGATCGGGCAAGGGAATCAGTGATCCGAGAGGGCAAGTGTTGCTCCATGTACTGCAAATTGCGTGGCGCAACCAGTCACACGGGTTGCTTCTTGAATGCGTCTCGGAAGTCTGCGGGTACCCGGAAGTAGAGCAGCTACTGCAAAGGTTGGCCGCTGCTATGCATCTGCAGTTGCAGCAGGTCCGCCTGGACCTAGCAGACCAGTGGGCTTCGAGGCGTGCTCGCTGGTGGTGCGTTATGTTGCCTGCTGGCACCCCCGACTTGACGCTGCCGGTCTGGCCAACGCTTCCCGTCAAACTTGTGGTGCAGGACGTCATTGCAGAGTGGCCAATATGGCCTAGTGACCAAGTACAAAAGCTTGCTTGGACCCCTCAAGAGGTCGAGAAGTACATGGATCCCGCCTACGGTTCGGACTGCCGCTGCCTTGATGTGCGCGCACAGGCCCCAACGGCCTTGCACAGCTGGGGCTCAGCCCTGCATGCCTGTCCCTGCGGCTGCCGGGCAAATGCCTTTACGGAGCACAATCTTCGCGTCAACGGCCTTCGGGGTGTAGGGGTTGCCACGGCCGGCCTTTCGGGTCTTAGGTTTCCTCACGCCAGTGAGGTAGGTTTCCTTAATACCCTTCCCGCCTCCTTCCTCCACCTGTCCGAGCCCCGAGCTGCGCTGTGTTTGGTCGGGCAAATTGCTGCCCCTTTGCAGGCCCTTTGGGTATCAGCCCACATCCGCATGTGGATTGAGCTTGCCTTTGACCTACCAAATGTCACCTGCCCCATGCAGCTCTTGGAGGATTTCAAAAGCATGCTCCATGAATCCCAGCGTGATTTTTGGACAACCTCGGCCATTGCCGCCTCGTCCTCGGTGTGGCTTAGCGTTGATGGTTCCCCCTTCGAGCTGCCGGTCTCCGGACCCACCACGGTTGCACAGCTCGTGAAGGCTGAGAAGGCTCTTCAAGGGTCGGGGGTCACGATTCAGGTTTTTGAGGGTGATCGTCGCCTCCCTGCGGGGGCCTTCTTGCATCCTAACGGTGCGGCCTCTCCGTACCGCTTGGTGCTGCGCCGGAAAACTGCATGTCGGACTGCACCTGCCCTGCCTCAGGAGCCGCAACAGCCGGAGGGCACCTCCGATGTCACCATTTGGACGGGATTGCTGAGATTGCAGGCCGCCTCTTCGAAACCTGCCTTTGTTGCTCCACCTGCGCTTGTAACTGGCTGGCTCCGCTTGACCTGGTTACGCACCGACCCTGCTGAGAACCTCCATTTCAAATGGCCGGCCTTTTGACAACTGTGCCTCTTCCCGTTCCTGTGCGAGGGGCACTGGGCATTGCTTGCTATTAGTCGGGAGCATGATGCGGGCCCTGCCGTCACTCTGTTTGATGGCCTCCCGGGTAGAAGCACAACCGCGGCGCAAGCCCTTGCTGACGCCATCTGCCTTGCGTGTGACATGCCACAAACCATTGTCTCCGAACCTGCACACCTCGTTCAGCTCGAGCCGGGCCAATGCGGGCCCATGCTCCTTGCATTTGCCGCTCAGGTGCTTGGGGACCTAGATGCCACTTTTGAAACTTTGCTCCAAGATGCCATAGCGTACTGCAGATTTGTGCCGCGGCATACGGCCGTCTTGTATGGCTCCGGTGCCCTTTCTGAGGCTCAGACTTCCACCTTGCGCCAGCTCTTGGTTGACAGGGGTGTGACTGTCGATCATGTCAGTGAACGAATTCAGGGTGCTGTTCAGAAGATAGGTGCCGGCCCTCTGTCCAAAGCTCTGGCAGCCGACAATCCCTGGCAGGCTCTGAAGGCCCTTGGTTCTTGCCCTTCTTCCCTCTTCAGGTGGATACGTCCAGAAGAGTTGCGCGCCCATGCACAGGCAAAGGCTCAATTGCAGTTTGGTGCCGCCATTGGAAATGCCAAGGCTAGAAAACAAAAGCCTGCCCGGACCAGCAAACCTGTCCTTAACGTTGACCCCACTGCCTTGCAAATTGCTCCCGGAGCTTTTGTCTCATCTGATGGCACTTCGCTCTCCCAGCTTGCTTTCGACGAGGTTGGCCCACAGGCCCGAGGCGTTGCTTTCTGCACCGGCCAACAGATGCTGCCCTTCCTCTCTGACTACCGGGCTCTCAGTGTTGATGCTCTTGCTCTCATCTCCACTGCTCCAGTCCCAACAGAGGTGTGTGCCGGAGCTCCCGCTTCTTCGATTCGCTTCCCGGCCGTTTACGCTCCGACACAGGAAGCTGTCCTGCTCAGCGGGACCATTCTTCAGCTCGGTGATGAGCATGTGCAGCTATCTGCAGCCGATGCCGATATGGGTGACATTGAGAAACTGGACACCATCACGGGTCGAATTTCCTTCTTCAAAGATGAGGCCCAACTTGGTTGGGAGGTCTTTGCAAAGGCTCCTGTGAAGTCGCTGCTGCAACACATCCCGGGCCTCAACTTGTGCAGGGACGCAAACTGCAAAGGCGATTGTCCTGCTTTTCACCCAGCTGTTGAGGAGCATGTGGAACGCTTGCTGCTAGATGTCTGGGCCAGACAGTTTGCAAAAGCAGAAGGTGGTAGTGCCTCTCCAGAGGCAGCCGAACTTTTTCAGGCTTTGGTGCGTGTGCCTGCTTCCGCCGCCAAACATCTTCAGCATGTTCATGTTGCCGGGTTTTACTTTGAGCCCCGGGCCGCCAACGGTTTTGGGCCTCATCCCTCATACGCGGTTGTGTGGCTCCCAGGTCACGACAAAGCGCAGGCCACCCACCTCCTGAGGACATGCGACAAAGCGCTGGGGCTTGCGCGGCTCGGTAATAAATTCGGCATCAGGGTTCTGGATGAACATGAGCAGCTTGTCTTCGAGAAGCTCCGCCCGAGGCAACCTTTTGTGAAGGTCAAGGTGTTGTCTAGGTGGCGGTTACATCCTCTGCCGCATGGCACTCAAAGGCACACGCTGGTGCAGTTGCTGGGCAAGTGGAAGTGGGCTGCGAAGCCCTTGCAACCATGCAAAGGAGATTCCTCTGGCTGTGCCTGGGAGGTTGGCAGTGCCGAAGACCCGCCCTCCTCTGTGCTGCAGGCTGGTGAGGCCTTTGTGCTCATTCACAAGCTTCGGGACCTGAGCTCTCCCGCCAAACCCGAGGCATTGTGCGCATCCAACCGCACTCGTCGGCGTATCTTGTATGATGACCCTGAAGTCCCTCAGTCATCTGCTGACCCCTGGGCTGGTGGTCGTGATCCATGGAGTCTTTCCCGCCCCCCGCCTGGGCTTCCTGCCCCTGCTGCTTCGTCTCAGCAATGCCCTGCTCCGCCATCGGCCGCTGTGAGCAAACTCACTGAGGTTAAGTCCGAGCTGCAAGCCAATTTGGCCACTCTTGTGCGCAAAGAGGTCCAAGCTGCCACCTCTTCTGTGAAGGCTGCTGACCCTAACGATGCCCGCATCCAGCAACTTGAGGTTGGACTGAACGAGGTGCGCATGCAGAACAGCAAATTTGAGGAATGGTTTCAGACCTTCGGCACCCAAATGCGCCAGCAGGCTACGCAGGTTGTTGAGGTGCAAAAGGCAGTGTCTGCTCAGCAGAGCGAGTTCTCGGCGCTCAAGTCGGATGTCACAACCTCCATTGCTCAGGCCATGAACTCGCTACAGAGCGATATGCAAAAGCAATTTGCTTCTCAGACTGCATCTCTTGAGGCCATGCTGGCAAAGAAGCCCCGCACGGAGTGACTAGGTCCCACCGGCTGCCTCTTTGGGTCCAGAGGCAGGCCGGCTGATGCACAGGATGCGCGCACCTTGAGGGGCTGGTCGCTTCCGCTCTTTGATTCTTGGGGTATCCGTGCCCCTCTTCTCTGGCCCCGAAGTCGGCTGAAGCCCAGGATGCGTGTGCCTGGGGGCACTGGGCCTTTGCGCCTTTTAAGGTTTCTTCTTCTGCTCTGCCTTGCTGGCCCTGTTGTCGGCGAACGCGGACCAGAGCCGTTTTGCCGTTATGGTGAGGCCTCCAATCCTGGCCCTGATAACATCATTTCCTTTGGCACCTCCAATCCGAGTGGCCTTCGCAACAAAGAACAACTGGTTGCCGATTTCGGCCCTGGGGTCTGGCAGTATTCGGAAACTCAGTTGTCTGCTGTCAGTCTGCCATCTGCGTCTCGAGCCATCCGTGCCCTTACGCGGGCACAGCACCGTGATGTGCGCATTTTTGCCGGGGCCCCGGCCCCTCTTCGCCCTGGTTCCAGTTATGCTGGTTCTTGGACTGGAGTCCTCACATTGAGTGACTTTCCCTGCCGCCCGGTGCAGCTGCAATGGCTGCACGATTCGTTCCATTCCGGCCGCATTCAAGCCCTGCACCATTTTGTGAATGACACCCCGATCCTCACTGCCAATCTCTACGGTTTTCCGAGTGGCAAGACCTACACTGATGCACGTGCTCGCACCGAGCGCCTGCTTGAAACCCTCACCCATGAACTCGTTTTGGGCCGTAAAGGCATCAGAATGATTGCTGGCGATTTCAATCATTGGCACGAGCACCTGCATCAGGTCGCAATTTGGAAACAACAGGGCTGGATTGAGGCCCAAGACCTCGCTGCAATCAGATGGCAAACGCCCCTGGTTCCTACTTGTAAGGGCTCAACACATCGTGACTTCATTTTCCTTAGCCCTGAGGCCGCAGCCCTTTGTGAGTCGGTCCGCGTCCAAGAGACGTTTGCGGAGCATGCCACGGTAATCGCCGGGATCCGGTTGACTGGGGTCCACCGAGTACAATCCTGGCCTCTCCCCGCCGAAATTCCTTGGTCTTCTGTTGACCTACCGGCTTGGACCCGGGAGTGTGATGTCATTCCCATCGCAGAGTCTTGCTCCACTCGCTGGTTGCGGTCTTTTGCAAGGGGCTTTGAAGCTAGTCTTGTGGGTCATGTGGTTGGGGCCCCCTCTGGCTGCCTGCCCCACCGCTGTCACGGCCGCGCCTGCCGACTGTCTCCGGATCGGCCTCCTCGCATTCACCCTCCCAAGCCGGCCAGACCCGGCGAGGAGGCTGCACATCATGATTTATTGTCTCTTGAGGTCAAGCGCTGGTACCAACAACTCCGCCGGTTGCAATCTTTGGACCATGCTATGCGTGCCGGGAACCAATCCCCTAGTGCGATCGAGCACCGCTTGGGTTTGTGGCGTTCGATTCTCTCTGCCCGAGGCTTCCGCCCTGCTTTTCAGCTTTGGTGGCCCACTCGCCCGGTTCAGCTTGCTGGATCCCCTGCAGCCTTTCCGGCCTTTCTTCCCAGTGCGGAGCTCTGCTCTCTTCTCTTTCTGGACTTCAGAGACAACTTTCGTAAATTCGAGGCGTGGAACATACGCCAGCGGCACGCCATTTTGGCTGAACAATATGCTCATAATCACAATCTCCTGTTCCGTGACCTCCGTGATCCCAAGCCTGAACAGGTTGATACTCTTGAGCTTAAAAGGTCATACCAGATTTTGGATGTTGACCCTCCCACCTGCGGTGTTCACCTTGCTGATCGGATTGATGACCGTGGCTGCAGCCAGTGGACTTTGGATGGGTGCGCCGTTCAGGTGACTTCAGTGGACGGGGACTTGTGTTGCATTCCCTCTTGTCCCTCCTTGCATCCCGACGCCGAGCTTGAGCAGACAGTCGTCCTTTCCTCGGCCTCTCATATACAGTTTGAATTCGAAAAGCTTTGGATTTCGTTTTGGCAGCGTTTCGCCCACTCCTCTGAGGCCGACTGGTCCCGTGTTACATCTTTCGCCCAGGCCTATCTTCCACAGGGCCAACTGGACCTGCCTCCAATCAGCCTTGATCAGTGGCGCGGTGCATTGCGCCGTTTCAAGCCTCGTGCAGCGCGTGGCTGTGATGGATTTGCCAAACTTGACTTGCTCAACATGTCCGATCCTCATGCCTTACAACTTCTTGCATTCCTGGCGGATATAGAGGCCGGTGTGCGTGAATGGCCCGCCCAATGGCTTAATGGTCTGGTATGTTGCCTCAAAAAGCCAAACGAGCAACAGGGTCCGGAGGGCTTTCGGCCCATTACCCTCCTTTGCTGCGCATACCGTGCATGGAGCGGTCTTCGGGCCCGCCAGGTTCTACGTTGGCTTGTTGATTTCATGCCTCACTCCGCCCTTGGTTTCATGCCACACCGCGAGGCCTCACAATTCTGGTGGATGTTGGAAGCTCAGGTTGAGCTCGCTTGTCAGAACGAGCTACCTTTTTTGGGGTATGCCACCGACGTCATCAAGGCGTTTAACGCGCTGCCACGACAACCTGTGTTTGCGATTGCGGCTTGGATTGGCCTGCCACCAAATCTCTTGCGCCCATGGGGCTCCTTCCTGGACAAGCTTGAGCGCCGGTTTCTCATTCGCAATGCCGTCGGCGAACCTCAGCTTTCGACCTGCGGCTTCCCCGAGGGGTGCGCCCTGAGTACGGTTGCGATGAGCATTGTCTGCTTGTGCTTCCACCAATACCTTGAAAGCTTTACGGCCGCTTGCAGTCCTCATTCTTACGTTGACAACCTCGCCTGCTCCGCGCAATCCGTCGGTCAACTTGCGACGGGAACTGCTGCCTCCCTTGCTTTCCTGGACATGTGGGGCCTCACTGCCGACCCCTCCAAGACGTACGTGTGGGCAGTTCAGCCCGGACATCGCTCACAGCTTAAGGCAATGGGTTTTCGTGTCCAGACACACGCCCGCGAGCTTGGTGGCCTCTTGAGTTTTGAGCGTTCTAAGCATAATGCAGCATTGGTGAAACGTTGCCAGGACTTGGGCCCTTGGTTCGACCGCCTTCGTCGTTCCCCAAGTGCTTATGTGCACAAGCTGCGAGCCTTGCCGATAAAATTTTGGAGTCATGCTCTTCATGGCATTTCGGGCTGCCCATTGGCCGACTCCGTCATTGCCGGTTTGCGTGCCCAAGCTGTGCGGGCCCTTGGGGCCAATTCGGCTGGATCGAGCTCCATGCTCCGCCTTTCTACTTGTGGCTTCCTGGACGCCGACCCGGGCTTCTATCAGCTCTGGTGCACTCTGCGCGACCTGCGAAGACTGGCTGTCAAAGACTCCAGGGTCCTTCCTTTGTGGACCGTCTTTGCTGCCAATTTTCAGGGCCAATTGCTGCATGGCCCCTTCTCGAAGCTGTTTCAAGTTCTGGGACAGATCGGCTGGAGGATTGATCACCCGCCTTTTGTTACGGACCATGACGGGTTAGTCCACAATGTCTTGGAAATCCCCACCAGTCTCCTGCGCCAGCTTTGCGAGCAGGCATGGTTGAATTACGTGGCTACTCAGCACCGCCACCGACATACCATGCTCGACCTCCTTGGCATCGATAATGCCTTACTGCAGGAAGACTCTGGTCGGCTTAACGCCCTGGATTCGGCTCGTCTTGCCGCCCTTCGGAGCGGAGCCTTCATGTTCGGGGCCAGCCAGATGCGTTTTGACCGAGCCCAGGACGGACTCTGCCCCTTTGCCAGGTCCTGGATGATCATGAACACCGCGTCTGCCACTGTCCTCGATTCGCTGCAGCGCGCCTACCTTTTCAATGGGTCTGTCATTGTTGGGCGACATTGCCGCAGTGCTTGAGAACGCATCTCTTGCCTCCCTGCAATCCGCACCTCCTTGCTTTGCGCCAAGAGCTGTTAAAATTGCCTGATCGCTCCGCCCAGTTTGCTTCTTTGGAGCACACCGCCGGTCCGCAACATATCTTCTCCGACGGCTCGTGCCTTCATGCTCGACGGGCTTCTCTTGCTTTGGCGGCTTGGAGCTGTGTCAATGCTTGCACAGGTGCTTTGTTGGCCTGCGGGCCGGTCCCTGGGCTTCAGCAATCTTCCCCTCGAGCAGAGCTCTGGGGCGCCATTGCAGCTCTCAAGTGGGGTGCCTTTGTCATTGTCCCGGTAGTGCTGTGGACTGACTCGGATTATGTGGGCCGTGGCATTCGCCGGATGCTGCGTGGTGATTTCTTCACGCCGGCCGAAAATGCTGATCTTTGGGAGCTGCTTCGAGAACAGGTATGTCTCTTTCCTTCAGGTCATCTTTCGGTGCAACATGTACCCTCCCATCTTGACCCGCAAAGAAGCTGTTCCCCTTTCGAGGACTGGGCCATCCAGTGGAATGCTCATGCAGATACTGCCGCAGGCGTGGCGAACTTGAATCGCCCACTTGAGCTTACTAACGCTCATGCTCGCGCTCTGGGCTGGCACGAACAAACTCTGGAAGTCATTCGGGCTCTGCGCGGCATCTACTTTGGCATCGCTGCCGCCACGCAGCGCTCTGGCTTTGCATTCGGCGGGGAGGCTGAATTGGAGGAGCCACGCTCGCCCGATTTGCCGCCCCCCGCCTCTGCTCAGGCTGATTTTCTGGATGAGCTGCCCTTGAACTGGAAGCAGCGGGCAGCGGACGCCTGCCCTGAGCTGCCTGCGACCTTTCTTCTGTCCTGGTGTAGCTTCTTGGCTGACGAAGCTGATTCCGGCGACTTGTGGAGACAGATTTCATGGCTTGAAGCAGTTTTCATATTCCATGTCCTTGGTGGGCAAAGATTTCCGGTGCGCTCTCTCTCCGGTGAGGGTTGGAGGAATGCTGCTGATGTTCCTTTACACTGCCCGACTCTGACGGTAGCTGTACAGTTTAGCCTGACGCGTCGTGCGCTCAAGGGCATCTTCAAGGCCTTACAGAGGGAGGATCTTTTAGTTGATTGCATCGATCTTGTCGATTTCGGTATTTCTTTTGCGATTGGTGGCTTTTTGTTTCCAGTACGATCCACTTTTCTGCTGGCTGCTAGGTCACGACTTTCTGAGTTTTGTGCGGGGCGTAAGATTTGTACAGTTGGCGACCTCGCTCGCATTTTCTGAGACTCAAGACCTGATGGACACTCGCTCGCGGTTCTGCCTTGCCGAGCCCGAGCGTGCAAGCTGTGTGTGCTATATAGGGTTTTAGGAGTCGTGGTCTGTAGAAATCAAGGTTTAGGGATTTGCTGGGCTTGACATCGTGCTTAACTCTTCAAGGCGGTTCAAAAAAAAGATCCTGCTTTTAATGAACGGTTTATGAGGATGCCAGATGGGTCCATAACTAACTGTTCAGGGCACATATACCCTAAGTCCTAAACCGTAAACCCTAAACCATCTTCTTGCAGGCTTCGTTTAAGGCTCGAGAGTGAGCTGATGCGGGAGGTTCATCAACCTACGAGCTCGAAGCGTCCGAAGTGCCTACTGTATAACGTGGCATGTAGAGTGTGCCTAAAGTCGAATTACGATTGCGGTTCGGGCAAGTATCCCCCATATAGCTGCTTAATTAGGACCCTTTGGGTATTGCTTTGGGGGTACACAAAGCTATAGGTATAGGGTGTCATGATCGAGCTTCACTTACATAGGAGAATATGAAAGCCGAAAGCCCTCAATCCTAAACGCTAGACCAAACCCTGCGCTTTTTCACTACGTATTCAAACACTGGGGGGGGTTGCAAACATTGGGGTCCTCGTCGGGTTCCGAAACTAGACGGTTTGCTATGTAAAAGTAGAACTATATCTTGGGTACGCCCCCCATACAGTAACAGTCTATAATAGGGCTACTACTACTGGCCCAGTATACCTATATTATGACTATTATCCAACTGTTACTGAGTGGGGGCAGTACCCAAACTATATAGACGGTTCTCCAAGGTGACCAGGATTTGGACAGTTACCCAGATCTTGTTAGGCCTGAGGCTCCATGTACCAATATAGTATTCAGTATATACTTAGGCTTAGGCCTCAATGTACCTTGATAGGAACCCGTGTAATGCATATGATTGTTTATAGGTACATCCCTAAACCCTAAACCCTAAACCCTGAACCCTAATGCCCTAAACCGACCTGAGGGTATTGCTGCGTATTCTGATCTTCTTGTCAGACCTCGACTGCCGGCGACTGTCAGTTCTTGAAGGCAGACCGGGACCCCAAATTATAACCTACATTTTTAGGTTTCCGTATTATGATTTCCTTATATGAGTCCTAAGAGAAGGTAAGTTATAGTTGGGGTAAAGGTAGGGATTCAAGCTGGGGGGCTTGAAAGGTTGGACTTGGGTTCATGCAGGGTTTACCCGGTCAGGGGGCAGTTCAGGGGTTTAGGGTTTGGTTAAACCCTAATCAACCCTAAACCTACAAACCCTGTGCCCCTAAGTTTAGGGCTCTCGGGTAGAAGGCTTTCCTTTTGAGGCATGGGCGTTCACAAGCTTTCTACATTGAACAATGTACCTCTATCGATTGAAAAAATCAAGTTCCCCAACACTGCCGCTGACCTGGCAATGTTGGCCGCAGTCTCTTCATGGGAGGCGCAAGCCTCGAGATTCTAGAGATTATAATATAGATACGGTTTAGGGTTTAGGGTTTAGGGTATAGATACTGGGTAGTGGCTTTGATCACACGTGCATATGTGAAACTACATACGAATCTCTCCACGGCCTCTGAATTTAAAGCTACAACAAGCAAGGAACAAGCGCGGTGGCATCATCAGCTCTTACCCCTAAACCCTGAACCCCAAACCCTAAGCACGATGATGAGGGGGGGGGGGGGTAGTAGGGTGAACATTAGAAGAGAGGCATGCGTAACTAGAATAGGGATTTGGGGCTGATTCTAGTATAGTTACCATAAGGAACCTCTGAAATAGCATGGCCAATTTTTCTAGGCCCATATGGTAGCGCTCCAGGCTAAGCTACTCTCTTGGAAGGCTGAGCAAAACGTCTTCTTGGCGTCACCACCTTCGAAAGATGCATGTAAAAGCCCCTGAAATGGGCCGCGTTCGAGTGGGGGTTAAAGTTCAGCAAGGTCTTAATAATTAGAATGGAGTTTTGGTGATAATTATAGTATAAGTATACTAAGGAGCCCTCCAAAAATACCTATTCTAATTATTGAGGCCCCTATATTATTCAGTAGCAGTTATAGACGGGACAAAACTGTATACTGTCATTACCGCGAGAACTGGTTTCAGGCAACCCTAATCAACCCTAAGTCTGGGAAAGGTGTTGTAGGGCTCAGGCTGTGGTTGGGAAGCTGTGTTCTGGGCGAAGAGGTTGCAACGCCTCTCATGTGAATCCGTCCAAAAGCAGCAACCTAAAGAAATGAACCCTTGAACTTTAAACCCTCAGCCGCACAAGAGAACTCTCCCCACTCCTCACCCTTGACATCGAGCACCTCAACAAAACATCTACAACACTCTTTCGCCCCCACTGAAAACCAGGGTCAAATCCGACAGAACCGTTGAACAGCGCTATAGAACCTCCCAGAGAGCCCAATACCCCTTAATTAAGGAATATAGCTTAAATCATAATATGAAGCCCTATATAATTTAAGCCATATTCCTTAATTAAGGGGTATTGGGCTCTCTGGGCTGTATAACGAAACCCGCCTAAAACCTCGCGAACCCGCAAACATCCTCTGACGCCCAAACCCCACAAAACCCTGTGGCCTCTTGGTGGCTGTCAAAACTAGGGTCCCCTCTTTGGGGTCCTTATTATAATACGGCACCTAATATTATAGGGTACCCAAAAAGGGATCATAATTTTGACAACTACCCCTCTGAAGCCTCAACTCCAAACAGGTTGAAGCGCCGATCCTGGTCGGTGCAGTCTCGTCTTCACTGGAGACATCCAGCACCTGCACAACGCATATAGGTTTGGGGTCAATTGTAGCGTTTGTTGGGCTTTGTAGGAAATTTACAAGTGAACCGAACCTTAAACCAGCAACGCTAATTTCTCGACCCCTGAATCGAAATCCAGTACCTTGAACCGCGTGCTTGAACATTTTAACTACACGGACAAGGCGTTCGCGCGCTTCGGCAGGAGCTCCTGGCCGTTGCTGCCCAACAGCATGCGGCTCGTCTCCACGGAGGGCACGGCATGCTGAGGACAGTCGACTTCGACCTTAGGAGACCCTGGCCTCAGCTGTGAATCCTGCGACTCGCGCCCGCCCTTACCAATGTTGAAAGCAGCAACTTCTTGTTGCAATGCTTGGTGCTGAGCCTGACCCCCTCTTGGCCAGGGATCTTAATGCACTTTGCAAGGCTCTGTACAGTTGTTTTGTTGATCAGCCCTTTCCGATCTGGCACTGTGTCGAATTCTCTCTCGTGTTGTAGGGATAGGGGTTGCAAAGCAATGCAGCGGGTTCTGCAACGGTTTTACAAGGGTGCTGTAATTTTTCGGTTTTGGGTTTGTAGTAGCGACTATGGGCTAGTGCGTAGGGTAGTGCGGTAGTCGGACGAACAGGCTAAGCCACGAGACCCAAACCCTGAAACATCAATCCCAGAATTCCTCAAACCCCAAGCCTCAAAACCGTGAACCCTGAGCGACTACTTCTTGAGACCTCAACTAAAACTTAAATCCTACACACCCGAAGTGCTGAACCTCCCGTAATGCTTACTTACAGGCATTTAGAAACGATTTGGGGTATAATTACAGGTAGGAACCCGAAGGAAAAGGTTCGATAACTGTGCAGGCCCTATTTAATCCTACCCTAAGGATCCCAACACTTTTGAAAAGACTCTCAAAACGACGATTTCTAGGATCCCAAGAGGATCCTTTTACGAGATCCGTACCCTCCCAAGGAGAAGACCCCTGCAAGCGAGCCGTAAACCCTCAACCACTTACAGTACCCTAAACCCAAAGCCATAAAGCCTACACCAGGAAGCCTAAACCCTAAACCCCAAACCCTACATGCTCTTTCGGGAGGACCAGCTGCAAGCCCTGGTCTTGGGCCAGCAGGCCAAGAGGTGTGGCGACCACTGCCTGTTATTCCCCAAAGGGTCCAAAGTATCAATATAGTAGAATGTAGGGTTTCTATATTAGGAATTACTATTATTTTGATTTGGGGAAGTATTCCCCATAACAGTACCTAGGACCCTTCGGGTCCCCCCCCGCTGAAGACGTAGATCTCGGAGCCATGGGTCATCCCCGAAGGCTTCAAGTAAAGGATCCGGCGGCCCAAATGCAGGGAAACCCCGCCGGCAGGGAGCGCCAGGAAGACTCCGAAAACTTCAAAACTAGAACAGGCTGGCTATAAAGGAGGACCTTCATAAGATTCAGGCCCTTGCTCCTACCTCCAGGGGTCCATGTACCCAACTGGTATACACTTTGGCCCCGCTGTACCTATATAGGGAATACTTTGAAGCCAAAGTATATATACTTTTGGGGTCCATGAGCCCTTATACCCTGAACCCTATAGAGCCCCTTATAGAATTCTTATAGTAATCTTCAAAGGAACCCTAAGGGTACATTTGGTTGCATGGACCCTTGGGGCTAGATCCTGCCGACCTCAGTGCTGCGCTTGAGGGCGCCGAAGGCCATGGCAGAGAGCAAAAAAATAAAAACAAAAAAACATGCTCTGATCGGATCGTGGGACTTTGTTTAGGGTGTAGGGCTTAGGGTTTGCATTTTTGGTTTGGGGTTTATAAGGGCTTAATTTGGGCTTATAGGGTTTAGGGTCGAGGATTCAGGGCCTATAGTAGTAACTAGGTGCCTAGATACTTCATGCATAATTCCTGTTCAAATTAACCCCTAAGGCCCCAGCAAGGTACTCTACAAGTTCGGGCTTACAAGGATTATATGGGCTTTTATCAGGGCTCATGAGGGTCTGATGGTGTGGTATCAGGCGAGAGGTTAGTGCACTGTACAACCAAATCAGTGCTCTTGAGGATGTCGGGTTTAGGACTTTTGGTGGGATGTTAGGTCGGTTTTGGTACGTCTTCAGGGTGTAGTTAGATCTCAGGATTCGGGGTTTAAGGCCTTAACGAAAGTACCGTCAATTTTTCAGCCGGGGTTCTGGTAGAGTCTCCCTAAGCCACGATTTAAGTTTGATGGGTTCGGCACAGGATTTCGGGCCGAT